TACGCATGTCACTAAATAGGTTGCCACCGCGAGCGATGTTTACTGAGACAGGTGGTGTTTGGAAAAAAGCTAAGGGTGGTCAACCTAAGACCTAGCACGGGGGTATGAAGTCACTAACCAGAGTACTGGGTCACATAGATCCCGTTAGGCTCCCTGGCTGGGGACCTTGGAATGGTCGTACCCGATGGTTCGAGACACTGAGTGATATGGGTGTGTTGTAAACAATGGCGTTCTTGCATCTCAATTTCTCTGTAACCTGAGATCACTGAAATTCTCCATTTTCTGTTCGACTCTACTTTCAACCTTCCTGTCTTTCTCCTATACCTCATCCAAAAACCAGCAACCAAAACCGGTGCACGAAGGTGTATGCTTAATGGTTGTACAAACTGAAACTAAATTGAGTTCCCTTACGGAATAAGCCCTTTATTTGCCTGAAAGCTTCTATGAGATCTCCCCTTAGTCCTCTGACAAAAGAGAACTCATTAAGTTCTCTTATCCTGCGGTGGTAGTTCAACCCTTCCATCCCCCTAATTCATCTAGTGAACCTCCTTTGTACATTCTCCAGTATCACACGGACCTTATTCGCTGCCCTTAGGCATTGTGTCTTGAGTTTGAAGCTCTTGGTGAGAAGAACTCCTAAGTCTTTGACTATCTCTCTGGGCTGCAGTGGCAGCTGTCCGTTTGAGACGGTATCAGCTTTTGCGGTTGAAACCTGACACTTTTCGAGGTGTAGTGGTAAGTCCCACTTGATCGACCATTGTCTAACCACCTCTACTTCGTGCTCCAGGTTTATTCCGGTTACTTTCGCATCGCGTACATGAGGCAGTGATTTTGTGGATCCTGTGTCAAACCGTCAATGTAAACTAGAAAGAGTGTTGGTGCTACTACCACACTGGTTAGCCTAGCAGTTTCGCTCAGAAAATATCCAACCTTCACAGAGAATGTGATGGTTGATGAACTGCACGACTCACTTTCTTCACACACCCCGTATTATTACATCCTGTTGCTTGTAGTCTAGGAGCATATGGCTGACGGAATCGAAGGCTTTGATGAGGTCGAGGTAGCAAACTTCGACCTGCTGAACCTCATCCAGCCTTTTCGTAACCTCATCCAAAAAGGTTGGCATGTTAGCCAGGCATGACTTTCTCTCGATAAACCCATGCTGGGCTGATGCCAACAAGTTTCGAGTGCTTAGGTGCCTGCATCTTTGCCCCCTAATGATCGGTTATTAGCATTTGCACAGAACAGATATCAGACTAAACGGTCGGTGTTTGCTTGCTTTACGCCTGGGTTCTGACTTGTGTGGAGTAACAATCGTTGCTTTTCGGTAATNCGGTAATACCCCCGCCCTCATAGGTTGCACAAATAAGCTGGTTATCGAATACGCTAGAACCCCTGCTAGTGGCCAAACTCTAGCAGGATGTATTTAATCGGGTCATGCAGCCTTATATCGATTAGGTAACACATGCTCTCTGGTTACATCACTCTAGTTGATTATTATTTCAGTAATTGTTGGTATATTTAAACGCGGTGCAGTGGGCTCCGTAACATCCTTTTGCCCTGGC